ATGGAATCAGCAATAAAAAAAGAATGCTGGGTGAATATTTGGTTGTTGTGCTGGAAAGCAAAAGCAATGGAGCAGAATTTTCCAGGTTGACCATCTTGAATTTCACGCTTCCTTCCACAGATGTCTCTTAGAAGATAAGAGTTCAATTCCAAGAACACTGTGTTTCTTCTGTAACTTCCATACTGTAACCAGTGTGATATACAGTCCATGTTATACAATGAGGTTTATGTCAAACATTTGGTGCGGTGCCACAAGAAAATGTAAAAATTAACATTTTTTCCCCTCAACATTATACTTTGACGTATTTAAATGTGCTTTATGTAATATGTAGAACTAAATCTGTTTAGTTTAAGAATATTTCAGAGATTTTAAACCTTTTACCCCACTTCTTTTGAGGCTAGAGGGTCAAACCTTAATTTGGAGGGTCAGACCCCCTCAAACCCCCTTATAATTTGCACCCTGGCTGTAACCCTCTTCCTTAATAACTGGTTGGCTGTATCTGCATTGCATTTTGCAGTTAATTTCAAATGTTTACCTTCTGAGTAATACAAACCACTCAGCTTTATCTAATAAATTAATGCAAGCAAACATTGCATTCTCCCTCTAGGGGTGAAAATCTTGTTTATTTGAATTTGTCAGCATTGTGCTCAGCAAAACGTCACGGATAGCCTTGCTTCTCCCATTGTGTGGAAATACATCTCAGAGTTACAAAAAAAAAAGAAGCGAAAAGGAAAGGAAAAAGGATGTAACTATGTTTGGTAGTGGTGACATCCAGTATACTGGAGTGGACAGGGCATATCTCAGACACAAGTGGATCTCATGAACCATTGTTGTGCTCTAATAGCCTACTTTTGAGGACTTTTTGTGCCTGGCTATTTAAGGACTCAGCATCCAGCACATGACAAATTGTACTCGTTCTTTTGTGAAGGTCCAGCTCTTGTTCTCCCTTCGTCCTCAGTGGCCCCGTAATCACTGTTTACAGAAGCGACAAACAGTAGCGAATGCTCATGCATATCTCAGCTAAATGACTGCAGTGTCCTCTTGAACATATGAGCACAGGCCGTCCTGTTTTAAGTGAAAACCTTCATTGCTGTCGCATGATGGGGATTTCAGTTTCAAACACTTGATGTTATTCAGCTTTGTTTCCAACTTGTTTTTCAGAACCCTGTCAGAACTCTTACTGTCATGAGACAACAGTTTTGATCAGGGCAAACTTTGAAGGACTTACTTTGTAACAATGTGCATTGGCTCGTTTAGTTTACACTCGAAGTGGATTGGTCTCTCTAAGCGAGATCCCAATTCGTCGGTCATCCGACGTGACGTCGAGAGTGACCGACTGAAAGGGAACTTACTATACTGCTTTTTGTCATATATTATACCTTTTTTGTTCAGCAGAAGAAAGTAAGTCATACAGGTTTGGAATGACATAAGGGTGTGTAAACAATGGCAGAATTCTAATTTTTGGGTAAACTGTCTTGTTAAATATTTAATTTTAAGTTAAAATATTGCTGCTACAGCCTTATAAAAAAGCCATTCTCGGTCTCCTCTTCCACTCTATATGATATGGTGTTAACACTCTGTAAGCAGATCCCACCACAGCTCAGAGGCTAAACGTCTGCTTTGTTCACAATCCCCTGCTCTTCCTGGAGCTAAAGTTGATGTGACATTTTGCCCATTTTTTTGTCCAAGTTTTTTCTGCTTTTGGCATTGTTGAGGGAGGAGGGAGGAAGGCTTTTACCATCACATGCCGTCTATTGAGGTCTTTCATAAATAATTCAGCTCAGTACATTCAAAGTGATGACAGCAAAACTGTCATGCAATCTCCCTCATAAGATCAAAGAGGTGTTTCTATAGGAAGAGGAATTTCATTTTAGGATGTTCTGTGGGTCGGCCATGTGATCGTTTCTTGCTGGGGTCTCTTTAGCTCTCCTTTGACAAACTCCGATAAAGTGCTGTATTTAAAGGGATAGTTCATTCAAAATTAAAATTGTATTATCCTTTACCCACCTTCATGTCGTTCCAAGACTTTCCTTCTTCTGTGCAGCACTAAGGAATTTTAGCAGAATGCCGAGTCTGTAAAGTGACAAAAAGCTTCAATAGATGAAGCCATAGATTTATGTAAGGAAAAGATGCAAGTTTAAATGGTTATTTAATCGTCACATTCACATATGTTCAAATACGGCATGCTACATCAGTTTTTACATTGATAATGCCAAATGTCATTGTTTTTATGTGTCTCGGGACCTGTTGCAACTTGCCAGATTTGAATATGCAAATATTTTTTTAAACCCACCAGCCCCAGTCCCTATTCACTTTAATTGTAAGAGAAAGAACTTGAACATTCTGCTCTAAGTAACATTTTACTGTATGTCCTATGGGTGAAAGAAACTTATGAAGGTGGCAGAATCATTTTTGAGTGAAATATTCTTTTAAAAGAACTAAAGTTAATTTATGGCCTGCCACATGCCTGAAAAGACTCGTGAATACATCAGACTCTTTCAAATGTAGTGAAGTAGAGTCATAAGTTTCCAGAAAAAATAATACTCAAGTAAAGTACAGATACTCAAAAAGTACAATATTCAAGTAAATGTACCTAGTTACTGTCCGCCTCTGCAAACAGAAAATTGCCAATGCCAATTATGAACAGAGGGGGCGCTGTAAAAATTAATATCAAAGATTCCTAAAGAGGAATCTACAATAACTTAGTTAAATCCCTTACTGGAACATTTATATGAAGTAAATGATGTCTCTATTTCCATTGCGTGATGCGATGTGGAAATGATTCTGTCACATCTGAACAGGCTGATATGGTTCAAACTCCTTACAGTGTGAATGGCCCCAGGCCTGACTGTATCGAGTGCTGCTCTTTCTCATGGCTAACACTCTGAGCATGGAGTTTATAGCCTCTTTTGTTTTAAGTGTGCGAAGTAAAGAATTTCCGTTTCAATTTCATGCCTGTCAGGGATAAAACATGATAAAACGCAATGAAACGCAGCTCATCTGCCCAGTCTGTAAATGGACTAAACTGATGCACATGACAGACTTTGGTGGTACAGGAATAAGTGAGCTTTTAAAAAGGCCTTGGGTCGTAGTGAATGCACTCTTCTGCTTTCCTTTTAGCCATGAAAATGAGGCCCTGTTTAGTCACTGGAAAAGCAGGGAACAAAACCTTGAGTTAATGAAGGCTTCTTTCAATCATGTCCTGATATGCCACTGTAACGCAAGTGCTGTGAAATATAGACAATGCCCTGAAAATGAGCTTTTCTCTGGTAACAACCAAAAGCAGGAACAATTATTTCTCATTTAATTGTTAATTCTAAAATATTAAACCATGTCATGTAAATATAACGTCTAGGTTACTTGTGTAACCCTCGTTCCCTGAAGGAGGGAACGGAGACGTTACGTCACTCGTGACTGACGAATTGGGATCTCGCCCGAGAGCCCAATCACCTTCGAGTGTTAACTAAACAAGCCAATGACAGTTGGCGTGCGTGTTTCGTCACGCCCTTGCACAGTGTCTGTGCGAGAAGGCTCACTGGGGGAAACGCATATTTGCGTAGGCCCTGAGGCCAGCTGCATGCCAGTGCATCCATGCCGAGGGTTCGCTAGGGAGAAGGCTCGGCTCCGAAGCGAAAAGCTGATGTGCGTTTGCACGCGCTCTCCTTTTATACCCGCGCTGCGGGGCGGGGTGCGCGTGACGAAACACGCACGCCAACTGTCATTGGCTTGTTTAGTTAACACTCGAAGGTGATTGGGCTCTCGGGCGAGATCCCAATTCGTCAGTCACGAGTGACATAACGTCGAACGTGACTGACTGAAAGGGAACTGTAGATTTATGGGTTTATTTATTTATATGTCATTTTTGTTATGATCCTTTCTGTTAATTTCATATTTAAAATTCAGTTTGTTTGTTTAATTGTTCTGGTCTTTATTGTTACAATATTTGATATAACTGTGAATGGAAGGTCTTGTGCCTCAGTAGCCAGTGACTAGCTTGGTTGTTATTGAAACAACTCTCTATAATAAGTTTGTGTGTATCAGTTGAGCAACTTGTCGTACTTTGAATGCTTCCAGTATGTAATTAGTTTGAAAAAATGCTGGGACGGAATCACCTTTTTTGGTAAAAATCAGGGGAGATGTCCCTAGTGGCTGCAGCGCCCTTGGTAACAACAACACCGATTTATTTGGGACACTCTCTGTGAAGAAATATTTACGTAAAGGCCATTTTAATATTCCGTTTTTGCCAAAAAATACATGGATGAACAGAACAGAATGTGTGCAAAATTATCTGACAATCAGCTCGGAGGGGCGTTTTTTTTTTTTTCCTCCGTCGGACTTGCGCTTGTTGAGTCATTAATCATTGTGTGATGTTGGTCACTCATTTCAAGTAATAAAAGTTTCCATCATAAACGCACAACAGGTCTGAGTCACTCAGTCATATCAGCTTCCAGCTATGACTCCTATTAAATCAAGCAAGCAGAACGTTTCCTAAGGCAGCCATTGCCTTTTAATTTCCTGAAGAACCTTAGAATATCATTCATTACCAGAACTACACATATTTGGTTTTTTAAAAGTCTCATAAATCAATAGTGGCCTGACTGCAATAATTATAACAAGTTAACATGTAATTTTCAGGCTGAAAGCCGCATGGCCGGATTTTAGCATATGCAAACGAGGTAATTCAAATAGTGTTGGGATATTAATACAGAAGGGCAGGTAACGAGGTACGGGCTATGAATTATGCATCAAAAAGTGGTTGATCTTCAATAAAGGAAATGAATTCACTGTGTAATCTAATTAGTTATGGAAGTCTATTATGTCGAGCAGCAGAAAGCAACTGTCCTTGAAAAGGAATTTATTTACAGTACATGTTAGCTCTTCGGAATGGAATTGCGTTCTGGTCCGAATGTTAACGGCAACCTCTGTCTCTCACCCCTCCCCTTCTTTCTCCACTTCCCTCTACCTCCCCCTTTCCACCACTTCACTTCTGTTTTAGCTCAAGACCCGGGAGGCCTCCGAAACGGACCCAGAGTATAACATCGCCGGAGAACCCTCACATCATGCCACACTCGGTGCCGGGCCTCATGTCGCCGGGAATCATCCCCCCCACAGGTAATGCACACAGACCTCCTCCCGTGCCCCAGCCCTTTCTTGCAGCAGCCTGCTGCCCATCCGTTAAATGGCACGCTGCAAAATCTGACAGCCCTCATCCAAACTACCAGCCAGAATCATTGACTGTCCTGGCCGACCCCCCTCCCTTCCCAGCAAGCCCCCTGTGCAACCACAGCTCCAGAATAAATTGGAGTGGAGAGTTGTTCTCTTCCAGATTATTATAGTAGATGCTGCATTCTGCCTTGAGTGGATTTTAATTAGCCTGATTAAATCCACTTCACTGCTATATGTACATAGGCCGATGTGATGTTAAAGTAAGCTTATCGCCACAAGAATCAACAACAACCGTTTGTGCTTTCAGTTTGCCTGGAGCAAGGCTTATGCTTTTGTTCTATTTACGGCTGATTTTCATTGTAGCGGCTTTGAAGTCTTTTGCGAGAAATGGTCCTGATTTACATATCGTGCTCTCGGTTGTTCTGCCATCTTTTAATAACACACAGTCATTAGGTTATGGTTCACTCCTTGTTAATGTACAGTTAACTTCTCGTTAAGTCTCTCTTGTGGTTTCTTGAGCAATTATTGAACACAAAGCCATATAGTTCTCATTTTCAAACCTAAGTACCATGTGTTTGTTTTTGTTATTTTTTCATTGCAATGTATGGTGTTTTCTGTCCTATAGAACAAATTATCTTGCTGTCACAAAACAAGCTACCACAGAGTCTTTATACAAGCAGCTCTTCATGATGACTTTACATTTAAATGCATGCATTTTGGCAGAGACTTTATCCACTGTGACTTACAGTGCATCCAATTTAAGCATAAACCTAATGAAATGTATTAATTGCCAAATTTTCTTTCTTATGTTCTTTGCTATATAAGTGTAGCATTCTGTCTCTAAACTTGAAATTTAGGGGAAACTATTGAAATTCCAGCTTGGCAACAGAACTGGTAATCTTGAACAATGCCGGTGAGGCATTAGTGAACCATTCGGCTTGGGAAACTGCATCCAGCTGCCCCTCCATATCTGAGTGAGGTCAGACTATCAGTGTCTTGTTTAGAATCAGGAACTCAAAGGCCATGTGGTACAGGATGAGAGCCCAGGATGAGAGTCTACTCTTTTTAGTTCTCAGCAACCACGACAAAAACCCTTTGATATCCAGGCCTTTAAACCATGAGAAAGGCTCTGATCTTGAAATTTTGGTTGGAACTTCTAAAGAAAAGTAACATTTTATACAATCAAGTTTGTAAGGGTCTTTGGTTGACAAAGCGGCATGCAATGAATAGATGCAGTGAGATTTGCTTACATTCGGCTTTCACTGATCTTGGACAGCTAGGATTGGGAGAGCAAATGTAAACAACAGTTAAAAACAGCATGAAGTGGTCCTAGCTATTTTGTTAATGTAACTTCATCATAAAGGGGTGTAATTGTAATATTGGCAAATGTTCAGGACCTTTGTGCTTGAACTTCCATAGCATGTCATTTAACACCATACTTAAACTGCTAGAATAGAGATATTTCCAGCTCCATGTTGATTCCTGTTATATTGAGCAGGTGACTTAATAGTTAACAAATATTATGCACCAAAAATATCCCTAAATGTGTAGCATAAATCTTACAGGTCAGTTGCTTTGGGTTTGACAGAAATAAGAATCAAGAAATGGACCAAGAATGGATAATTTGACATTGTTTACACTTCCATTCAAAAGTTTGGGGTTAAGACATTTTTTATTATTATTTTATATACTTACCTGGCAGGGGAGACACCATGACCAAGAAGGTGGTTCACTCAGGGCGAGACTTGGCCATTGCACGCCGGCCGTGCTGACTGCTGCGAATTCCCCAAATGTGGGAATCTCGACTGCATAATTTATGGTAGTGGGGGACTGCATTTGTACTCTTGGGGCAGTTGTGGCCTAATGGTTAGAGAGTCAGACTTGTTACCCAAAGGTTGTGGTTTCGAGTCTCGGTACTGGCAGGGATTGTAGGTGGGGGGAGTAAATGACCAGCGCTCTCTTCCACCTTCAATACCGCGACTGAGGTGAGACCCTTGAGACCCTTGAGCAAGGCACTGAACCCCCAACTGCTCCCCTCCCAGCAAAAATGGCTGCCCACTGCTCCGGGTGTGTGTTCAGCTCATTTCTGCAAATATACTGGGTAAATAGAGTGAAATTTGGCCTCTGTCTCTATTAGGATCCCGCAACATTAAGTCAGTAGATAAGCACTTGCTTATCATAAGCATGGCTAAGTCACTCTTTGTGTACTGATGTGAAGTTAATCGGATCTTAATTTAATTACACTACTAGTGGAAGGAGGCACATACATTCCTTATTTGTTATAGGAATGTTCTGACATTGAGCAGGTATGGGGCAGCCCGCATGTTAATTAATAATGAACATTCTGACAATATTCAGAGGCATGACAGCGTTAAGCCAGTCTGCTGCTGGTTCCTTTGCATATTAATAGATCCTTCATTATTATTTAATATGACAGCTGCTCCAAGGGCTACGATCAGACCCCATCTCTATTATTTGCTGTTTTGTGCGCAGTATGACAGTACCATGCGATTCTTTATTTGTCAAAGTCCCCTCCTCACGCCATCGTCTTGCGCCCATCTGCCCGCTCGTTCTCTCTCAGACTCAGCTGTATATATATATGGCTGAAGAGATCCTTGTGTCTGTGAGAAAACAGACACGAGTGTTTGAATTTAAAGGTGACTTTCAAAAGTCGAAACATTGCGATCTGCCATTGGTGCTTTGCATACTAATGAATGCTAATTGAGGTAGGAGTGGGTTGCTCTTTGTGATGTTCAGACATACACAGGCACTACGAGTGGACTTGTAGCTGATGTGAAGAACAGTTTGTGGATGGGCACTCTGATCTAGATGTTACAGTGAAACACTCTTGTAGCCTACGATGGATGTTATTTGTGATCTAATGAACCAAACTATCTCTCTGGAACAATATTGAATGATAAGATAGAGGAGGATCCATAAACATACAATTGGCTTTTGCATGCTTGTAGTTTGTAGCAGTTCTTCTCAACTGGTTTTACTGCAGTTTATTTATTTATTATTTATTATTTAGATCAAATATTTCATAATTAGTATTTATAATTGTATTATATCTAATTATATATTGTCTCAAAAACTTGTCACAAACCATGTTTATTCTAAATGAACTAATATTTAATCTAGCCTGGGTTGTATCTCCTTTTTCCTTTTGTGGTGTTGTTGAAAAAAAGGCAAAATTTTGTTTATTTATTTACTTACTATGATAAAATATTTCCTAATTAGTATTTGTTATTTTATTATGTCTAATTTATTATATCTAATTATATCTAATTATATGTTGTCTCAAAAACATGTCACATACCATGTTTATCCTAAACGAATGTATATTTAATCTAATCTGGGTTGGATCTACTTTTTCCTTTTGTAGTGTTGTTGAAAAAGGGCAACATTTATTTATTTATTTATTTGTTTGTTTGTTTTTCAGTGGTTGAAGGTTCGATTTGTCCTAAATTCTGAAAAGTTTAATTGGATGTAAAGCCTTTGCCTTTAATAACACTGTCTTAAAAGTTGGCAAAGCTTTTTTTGCTATCATACTTATGAACAATAATATGGTTAGTAGCATATGTTCTTTCATTGCTATCTTCGAATTTACCATTTTTGGGTCACAGTCCACCAGCCGAGAGCCACTGGTCTATGCTGTGATAGACTAATTGAGCAGGAAAATATTGTAATTGTAATGTTTATTGATAACATCCATACCTTCAGGACATTTCATATAGACATATCCATTTTAGTTGATAAATGAATATGAGAGATGTGTTTAATGCATTACTGAAGTGCATAATTGCTAGACTAAAAATACCCCTAAATGTAACTCAATTGCCTGACTTTTTCACGCAAGCAGCTGGAAGGTGATTTTATTATTTTTTATCCACAGGTCTCTGCTATGCATACATCTCATTTAGAAAACAGTTGACTCTCTCCCATTAGACGCAAATGAAGATTGACCTTCAGTGTGACTGGAGGCCATATTTATAGTGGAGGAGGGGAAATAGATCCCCTCCGCAGCTGTAGGGCATGAATATACAACAGCAAACGAGAGCGGCCACTCCGACACCGTGTATACGATTCATCAATATGGTACTGATGTACTTTAAAATGCAAACAAGCCCAGAAAGCCGGTGGCATGCAATGTTGCCCACACCATCTGCCTATCTGCTGCTGGGGAGGCAAGGTGGCGTATTAATGCCACATGTTCGATATCTTTCTTTTTTCCCTTTCTCTTCACGCTCAGGAAAGGAGACAGAGGCCAAATGGCCAAAGTTGAGTCATGTCAGTGAATGTGACAGTTTAGTGATGATGAATTTACCAATTGGCTTCCCTCACGTGGGGGGAAAACAAAAGTCAAATGGGACATGAGCGTATCACTGATTGATGCTACAGTAGAGGATTTGGGGATTTTAAGGGCTGTTGTCTTGGGAAAATTTTAATTACTGACTGCATCTTTTTAATAAGTTTACTAAAAAGCGATACATATTATATCTCTCAGTTTAGCAACAAATGACAAATGTGTAATTATATGGAAATAACACATACAATTGACTGACTAATGTAATGTAATTTTTATAAAATATATTCAGTGGTTTATTTATCTGCCACAATAATGTGCTTTCTTTAATATTAATATGCAGTTAATTAATTGGCATATCTCGTAATTAATTGTATTTATTAATTTTTGGGTTAATTGATTAACAGGATAATAAATAAATATACAGAATGCAGATCTGTTTAAATGTTAAATTTAAAAAAATGCATTCAGTTATGACATATAATATTTTTATGAAGTTGCTCAGCCCTTATCCCAGAATCCACTTTGCCTTCTTATCTCATACATGAGACTATTGTACTGTAACCATTTTCAATACACTGTACGTATAAAATGAAACCGAGATCACAGGATTCACTGAACAACGCTGGGAAAAAAATCTCTGCTTTGATTCATCCATTCACATCATTTCATTAATCTTCATTAATGGATTCAAGGTCTCTTTCAAGGATCCTCCTTTTACTTATTGTGAGTCTTTCAGGTGTTTTGTCATTGAAAAAGAGTAAATGACAGTGTTTCAGTTCTTTTCCAGTCTCCCCGTCTCCACTGTCCTCCTTTTAAACAAATCAAACAATGGAAAAAAAATTAGGGCCAAAAGACTTTCAGTCGCAGCGTTCCTGTTCATTCAGAGGGAATGACAATGGATTTGAAGTCAGCTGAGAGCATTTAAAGTACGTATGTTTGAGATGTTTCACACATTTGTGTGTGTATGTGTGTGTCTTTGGATTCCCACTGTTTCAGACTGTTTTCACTTTGTCGTACATCCCCACCCGTTTATTTACAAACAGAAACCATGGCAACATGTCAGTCCTGATATGTTCTCCTGACTCCATCTGTCACCATCAAAGCTTAACGCCATCATCTTTGTATTTAGAGAGAAAAAGAGATGGAAATGAGAGAAGACGTACACAACAGTGAGGCTTCCAGCAGAAAACGTTGCATCAGTCCAATGGGGCCAGCTGTGTAATCAAAAACAGCAAAGCTACCGTCGGTGATGGGATGCAAATGATCCGCTCTAGTTAAGACGCGGTGCTAGACTGAGTTAGGCTAGTGATGAGAGAAAAGACCGTGCCAAACAGTTAAAGAGCAGGAAGCAGTTTTCCCTTATCTTTTCTGAGGTAAAGCCCTACTCAAAGTAATGTGCGATCTCAAAAACATGAGTTTAAAATTGTTCATTGATTACAATTGTTTAATTGATTACATAAATAATATATTAATATTGGATACTATTGAATACTAAAACAATTGGATACATTTTTTTTTTAATTGTCAGCAGATCGTCTCGGTTACGTATGGTAACCCTCGTTCCCTGAAGGAGGGAACGGAGACGTCACGTCGGTGACCGACGAATTGGGATATCGCTTCGATAGACCAATCCACTTTGAGTGTAAACTAAACGAGCCAATGCACATTGGCGGGTGGAGGCAGCAGCTGCCCGCCGGGGCAGGATGTGTCGGATCGTCTCAGTCTGCTTCTGGGCAGCCGAGAACTGCTGGACAAAGCTCTCGACTGCGTCACCGAAGAGGCCGGTCTGGGACACAGGGGAATTGAGGAACCGAACCTTGTCGGTGTCCCTCATGTCTGCCAGACACAGCCAGAGATGGTGCTCCTGGACCACAAGCGTGGACATCGCATGACCCAGAGAACTC